ACCATAAATGGATGAAATGCGAAGAATTCATTGCAGAAATGTTGAAGCGTCTTAAGCAAGATGAATATAGAGCGTGCTGTGAAATATCTGAAGACGCCATGCTAGCTTGGATGGGAAACTCATTCTTTCTGACCACGCTTAATAACCTATTAAAACAAGGACTTTACAACCATGTCCCCTAATCTGACTAGCGTAGTCTAGGGCTTTCCACCCGTAGGAGAAGATGGTGGACTAGAGAGTGGACCTCGCCAGCTATCTAGGTAGCATATATATTTATATATTAGCCTACCAAATATCGCTATAAGGTTCTTTTTTTGTGTGAAAGACTAAAGTCAGCCGATAAAAAACTAATTGTATCTTATAAGTGTGGGTTTACGAGTAGATCCGGTAAATCAGACATTGACCAGATATTCACCATGCTGGAGAAAATAATAGGAGCTGCAGACCGGAATAGAGGAGGTACAATCTTTTATAAGAGTTTCTCTGACGATATCGACATTATTGGTCTCAACAATCAAGTCGTGAGTTCTGATTTGCACAGGCTAGATAAGGAAGCGAAGGATATGGGTCTAGTAGTGAACGACGGCAAGACGAAATACTTCCTATCATCACACAAACAGTGAGCGAAGTTACGGTTAGGCTTCCACATTACTGGTGAAAGTCATAACTTCCAAGTCATAGATAATTTTGTCTTCTTGATATTTTCCCTACTATTGGAAGGTCCTACAATTCATAAAAAGCCGCCTCCGAATGGAGGAAGGTTTTTTTACGAGGCGCTTTTATTTCATGTCCACAATACACTCGCAGAGCTGGACATTCCCTGCCGAGGAGCGACCGTAATTAGAAAATTTAACTTAATTTTTTATTTTGAATTAATTTTCCATAACTTTTTCTCTCTGGTGGCACCGGGATAGGAACCCGAGCCTTCCGAATGTCAGTACGTAATGCTAACCCCTTGGCTACCACAGCCGCCAGAATAGGCTATTGAAAAGTAAAGTCCTCTTACGACGAACCAAAGCTAAATTCATAAATCATTCCCGTCGTACTATATGGTGCAGAAGCGTGGACGATATCGACATACGATGAGGCGGCTTTAAAAGACTTCGAGAAAAAAGTTTTGCGATTGATTTACTGTCGTTTTCGCCTCCACTCCGCTAGATAGATCAGGTGGAGATATTAGCCTGGTTTCGCTTGGTATTTCAAAGTTGAAGAGAGGAAGAAACGAAAGGTGCGCTCTTGTTGATTCGGCTATGATCGGGTAAGCAGTGATGATATGAGTATTCGGGAAAGAATTCTGCTGTCGACTTTGTTTTTAGTTTTGGTGGATGTTAAGTTAGCTAGTCTAGCTAGAAAGTCTAGAATAGGGACCACTCGGCTTAGATCAAATTTGCTCCTAGAGTGACATTGCAATCATAACCAGAAAGAGAGAGGCTGAAATTCAATTTTGCAAACAATTATTTTCTTTATTAATTTTTGGTGTTGTTGCGATTTATTGTATTTTTCCATTTAATATTTCATCAGTGGCTTTTATTTTTTATTTCAAAGTATGTATGTATGTGCATTTTTTCATCGATTTTCACAAATTTTTTGTCAATAATATTGCTCACTTGCTCTTTTATGCACTTGTTGTTTTTGTTCTTAATATTTATTAGCTTATTGGCTTTCGCTCATACGCACTTTTTATTACAAATATTATTGGCAACTTTTATTTATATTATTATTTGTTTTTTTTTTTTTTTTTTTTTGTTGCTAAAAGCCAACAACGTTCGTCGCCTACGACTCTCTCGCTGCTCTTTATTTATTCCTCACACTTTGCATGCAAAACACGTACGCACGTAAACATCCAGCAACAACAACAAGGTTGCAATAAAAAGCTTTGCGCAAGCAAGCATATAACAAGTGTAACAAAAAAAAAAAATACAACAATAACAACAAAAATGCAATAAAAATGCAAAATACTATGTTGAATGGGACAATTGACAATTCAAGCGCCACTGTCACGAAGCGCTACAACAAAAGCAACAACAAAAGAACATTCATTATTGTTAAGCACATTTACCTACACCGTCCGTACTGCCTTCGCATTCGCAGCAGAGAGTTTAGCACTCAGTATTATTATTTTTGTTAGTGTCCTGAGTCCTTGCGTCCATCTTTCTTATGCTGAGCATCTCCTGCAATCGCGCTATTAATACAGTTTACTCAAACTCTCACTTGCGATTCCCCTCATGTTCATACACGAAAAATATGAAGATTTGTAAAAATTGAATATGAGCACAAGTCGGCTTCCCATTATGACCTCCTTCGGTTGGACAGCCATTCGTTTGCTCGCTGCTGTCTCTTTTCGCTAGCAAAGCGTTTTATTGTTATTGTTGCATTTATTACGTGCACTTTTGTTATCAAGCAAAGTGTTTAGTACTACTATTGCTTGTTTGAGGCAATTTGTTGTTGTTGTTTGTCGGTATCAAAGCTAATAATGCATTCGCACGCGCAGCTGACTCAGAGCGTGCGCATCTATTTTCGGTCTGTTGGGTGTCATCTCGTCGAACTGTCTTCGTAGGTCCGGATGTTATGAAGATGAATATCGAGAAATCTTGAATGCGTAGCAATATTATACGAGGTAGATTCGAAAAATATCGATAATTTTAATTTTTAGTAGAAAATGTTGATGTTATCAATTTCCTGCCGTTCGGATGGCTTAGGTTGAAATCCTGGTGTCCTACTTACAACCAAAAGGTTATAGAAAATTAATTTATCAACAGGTGGAGAGGACCTGGTTTCATATGGTAAATCTAATAGGCGCCAAATAGCGTAGAAAAGGAAAAACTATATTTTGGACTAATTTGGTGAAAATCAAATTTTAGGTTAAACAGTTTTGTGATCGTTTTTATACAAAGGGTTTTTAGAAGGTTATTGTAAGCTAAATATACTCGTAATTAGTTCTGAGGTGAAAGGAAAGTTTGCACCATTAAGAGTGCATCTTGACCAAAACGTTAAAGCTTTAGGTTCGTACTCAACTTGACTCAAACAGATAATTATTTTAGTTTTACTAAAAATTCTAGTTCATACTAATCTAGAAATTTTGTAGATTTTTCTGCCTTTGTAAGACCTAAATTAATAAAAAACAGCTCTCATACTTTTCAGCGCTTCCAAAGTACAAATGTTTTCCGCCCCTAGAATTCAGCCAAGTTCTTTGACCTCCTCTACGTTTATGTAATATTTTTTATATTTTATCTGATACACAACAATTGGTTGAAATTAATTTTTTATGCTCATGTTTATATTGTCAACAAAGTCGTCAGCACCTTTTTGCCTCCCCCAACTGTGGTACAAAAGATTGCTGCAGGCCTCTACTCAATATTCCAGTGACGGTTTGCTGTGCTTCTTACTTTCTATGAAAGTTGTCTACGTTTTCTCACTTCTAGTACTACAAAATTACTTCTCGTAATACGCTTTTCTTCATCCTCCCGTTTTTTTGTTGTCTTTTGTCGTCTAGCGTCGCTAACTTTTTTTCATTGATTTTATTTTTTCTTTTATTGTATCGCCTCTTATCTCTCGATACACGTTCATCGTTGATATTAAAATTATTAGACTTCTTGTCTGATTTTGCACTATTCCGCTTTTGCTCTTTTGCGCTTAACGTGTTAAAGACCAAATTATCGCCTTCGCTTGCTCGTTTATGCAAATTCATTGACTTGAATGTGCTTTTAACGAATTTAAGTGGCGCTTTAATGGTTCATTGCTGCGGTGGAGAGGAGGGGCATGATGTTTGTATAGATTTTTGGCGTGAGACAAGCATGGATGTGATAATTATATGTTATAATATTGAAGTGAGTTTAATTGTGCGCGGAGACGACAAAGGGGCGTGAAACTAAAATAATTTTTTTTTATAAATCTGTGGAATTAGTCTAGTCGAGTGGTTAGCAGTGTATAGTAACATTTCTTGGCAGGGAATGTCAACTCTTGTGAGTGTATTTCTGACTGAAATAAAAGCTAATTAAAGTACATCACATCAAATTAAGCTAAATCACAACTTCAGAAGTTAGTTCTTAGTATATCATGTTATACGCTTAAATTAACAGCAAATTATAACGTAAGAATAATATAATATTTCAACAACACAGGAGACCATCACATCAACTTTTATTACCAAACAATTCCATCATATGAAAAAAATCATTGCATTGGTCATCGCTTCACGAATTTTATCATATCACCTCATACGTTCTGAAATGTCATATTAATTCTGTCAAATCGTAAAACGTCACATCAAATCGTATCATATTTTAACATATGATATCGTACCATATCATATCATGTGATATCATATCATGTCATAGCATCATATCATGTCTTATCAAATTTTATCACGTCACATTATACTTATTATCTTGTCATATCAATTCTGTTATATCGTACAATATATCATATAAAATCATAACTTATCATGTCTTATCAAATTTTATCACATTACATCATAGATATTATCGTGCCATATCAATACTGTCATATCGTATAATGTCATATCAAATCGTATCATATCCTAATATATAATATTGCGGCATATCATATCATACTACGATATGGTATATCTTGTAAAATATCATATCAAATCGTACTATATCACGTTGTACGAATACTGTCATTTCGATTAATATTATGTCATATCATGTCGTACCAATACTGTAATTTCGAATGATATCATGTCATACCATACCGTGTGATATCATATCATAGCATCATATCATGTCATATTAAGTTTTATCGCATCACCTCATACTTATTATCATGTGCTATCAATTCTGTCATATCGAACCATGTCATATCGTAAATTGTATTACATTAACCCTGTCGTATGACATAATATCATATCATATCATATCCTATCTAATCCTATCATATCATACAATATCATATGATATTATATCTTATTATAACATGTCATATAACATAACATATAATATCCTATCAGATATCCAGTTGCATCACTTCACTTCTTCCAGATAAATGGAATCATATGGACCTATGATATTAGCACGTGATATTACATCACACGAAATCTCGTTAAAGGAGAAAATCACATTGCAGGTCACATGGTATGGAATCACTTGAAGTTTACTTTCTTCATACATCCTTTTAAAACTATAATCCATATTAACCATTTCTAATTACCAAAAGTAATTAACAGGATTTTAAGCTGTTTATATACCGTTGTAGAGAAATTTAAATACTGTTGTTCTAATTTTTAAAGTATTAAATTTGTATAACAATTTCATTTATTTATACTTTTTTACGTACATTCATAATTGTTTGGTGCATTAATCATTTTTTAATAATTTTCAACACAGCTAATCGACTTATTTTCATTTATTTCTTTTATAATATTCTGATAGTGTCTTATCGAGTATAAAGCTTCGCCACACTTATGTACTCGTATATACACGTAATCCACTGTGTTCACAGTCAAGCTATTGTATTACCAATCATCTAGTGACACAAGCTTGCCGGCGTGCGATAAATAACACAAATCCATATGTAAGTATTGACAGATCATTTTTTGTTAACCTAATTTGATGTTGAAAAGCATACAGAAGTATAATTATAAACTTACTTATATGAACATATACATACTCGTACGAGTATGCTGACATAGCACAACAGCCGTTAGCATAGAAAATCCCAAAAATTCAATATGACGTGCGCCAATAATATGTACATAATAATTACTTGTGAAATTATTCAACGCAAATAAATTTCATAAATTCGTATTAAAGCCAATGACCGCCAAGCAGTAATTGAGAAATGTGAATAAATAAATAAACAATAAAACAAAAGAAAAATGACAAAGTGACAAGCTGACTAACGGAGGTCAAAATTGAACAGAAGAAGAAGAAGATGAAGAAGAAGTAGAAAAATACATATATAACATCTTAAGATTTGGCAGCTATTTAAGGTTCTAAACTATATTTGCAAGAGACGAAATAAAAAATTATATGCTAAATTATATTAATGCTTATATAACTAAAATTAGTAAAACTGCTTTATTATACCACCTATATTTGCTATATTTGCAAGTTTAAGAAACCGTTAACCTGTCTCAACTCATTATGGCCACCAATTTTGTTGAACTGTTTAAGTAAACATTTCGTTATCTCCCCACGTAATCGCACAACATTTATGTAGCTGCTGTTGTTAAGCAGCAGTTAAATTCGGTTAACGAATAAATCACTTTTGGCAAATCGTTCCATCCAAAAGTGAGCAGTTTAACCAAGCGCCAATTCGACCGAAATACATAAAATTAATGATAACATCAAAGGTTGTTAAATATATACAAATAAAACGCCAATAAATAAAAACAGTTAATTTATATATATATTTAGCCATATATATATATATATATATATATGACTAAGTTGGCATCTTGGTTGATATTTTTGGCGGAAGATTTTAACACATTTTACTTTGCACTGTAGCTTTCATTGAAATTTGCAACTGTTATTTATTTTTCAGTATTTTTCGTGCAGAGTTGAGTAGCACAAGTCGGGTGGGCATGAGTAGGTCGTTTACTCATTCTAACAGCATCTTCTCTTCACCTTCCATTATTCTTCTTTATTCTTAGTCTAAGTAATGAATCATGATATTTAATCTATATAAAAGGCTTTCTCCTGAATGACTGACGGATCAATTCTCAGTATAAGCCGCTGCTCATAGAGACCAGAAATTTGGAGGGTGTGCTCTGCCTATGCACCGAATAAGAAAGGATTTTACGGAAAGTGGACCCGGGCTGGGACCAATCCTTTGAAAACTCGACATGTGGAACAGTTTTTCTTGCAGAAAGTAGACCCGGTACCAATCAATTCGAAAATTTTGTATTAATCATTTGATTTACATAAAACTAAGTAGTAGCTTTAGGAACAAATAGCAGCTGGGAATACCTTTTCTTCCGTGAAGTGGAATTACAGAACGAAAAAAAAATTATAAAAAAGTTTGTGCAGTTTACAAGTGAAAGTATTGCATCGAAATGTAATCGAGATTACTGTACTGACATGTTGTTTTTAAGAAGAAAATATAATTATTTCTAGAACTTCCGTTATATCATCAAATTACGCCGTCGAACCCAAGAGATTGCAATTTTTCTTCAAAGTATGTAATTACCATAAATAAAGCACAAGGCAAGAGTTTGGCATGGACACAGGAGAAGACTTGAGAGAAAGCTGCTTCTCCCATGGCCAGTTGTATGCGGCATGCCTCAAGTAAGTTTACAAAATAGCTTGATGAGTCTAGCACCTCAAATATATAAAAATATTGTCTACGAAGAGATACTGCGATAGGTCCTATGACTATCTTCGTTTTTTTATTATTGTATCATGTTTGCTTAAGCTTTAAATACGTACATCACAACAAAAAATGTTACATTTCATATGTTAAAAAAATATAACATTTTTTTATTAATATAAATTAAATACCTAAAAATTTCAATTATTATTAAAGGCATTTTAGATGCCGACAAGTTGCGGGTAAACTTTAGTTTACAAAGGAAAAGTTGCGTGAACTTTTTGATATTTAAATCCAAGCTCAGGTTTTGATCTCCTTTAATTTACATATACCTTCTAATTATGTTCGAATATGTTAATTAGCTCAGTTTATTAGACTCCGAATTGTTTTTGTCTAGGTTTCGTGCACACACTTATAAATTAGGTTACAAAATTTCTTTGAAAGCTGATGACATTTCATCTAATTGTTTTATAAATTGCGCTACCGAGTTTAGTGTTCACACACAATCAATTTAGTTGAAGCAATTTGAGTTTGACAGCTAACACAGCTATTATATTTTCTTTGTTTTCTCAAACGTTCTTTTGAGTTGAAGTAATTAATCTCTACGCGTTGATATTGCATTTTTCTTACATTTCTTATATGTGCTTGGTGTTCATACACATTTAATTAATTGATTATTTTGCTTGTGAATAATTTGGTAAAGATTGGAGACAATTTCGAAATTAATTTGAAATTTTTCTGCTGCCGTATAGAAATATGTATATACAATGCAATATAAATACATTTGTTTTAATGAAAAGAAATAAACTAACAGTATCGCTCCATCCACAAATTCATTAACGTTTTGAATGAGAAATCAAAAAAAAAAACAATAAAAATTGTGCCAGAATCCTAGCATGCTTAAAAATTAAAATAACGATTAATCTTGTGAGCCAACGAAGCTCTTAGTATCTACTTCAAAAATATCATTGTGGTCTAGAGCCTATCCACAATTTAGAGTAATCACGAGGTCTTGAGTAGAAAATTATTTCTAATTTATTATCCATAAATTTTGCAAAAGTTGGTTTTAGTGATCCTTATCTCGCCTTCTGTAAATGCGATCGTGTTACGCTAAACGGTGTTAGAAATATGATATTTTGAAGTAAAAAATAAAATAGGAGAAGTGTTGATCAGCAAACTCAGTAGTGTTTGAGCGCGTGTCAAAGATGGACACCTGCATACAGAAAATATGTTATATTCTAAAAAAAAAACCCGATGTAGGGGTCAGTTCATGAGAATCACAGCTGAATAGTACCAAAGTCTACACATTTTCGAAGATAATTGCGGCTGGTGATGAAAACTGGATTACTTACATCAACGTCAAACAAAGGCGCTCGTGATCAAAAGGAATTGTGCCGATATAAACGGTCTCATAGCCAGAAAGGTTTTGCTGAGTGTTTGGTGCAATTTTTAGGGAATTATCCATTAAGAGCTGCTCCTTACAGTCAAACACTTAATACAGACCTGTACTATCAATAAATGGTTTATCTGAAGGAAGCAATCACCAAAAAACGCCCAGCCTTGGCCAATAGCGGAGGACAACACACATTAAAGGCGACCAGAGCTTGGTTGAAAGGTTGTATGGCGGATGATTTGGCTTGTGTAAAGTGTGTGAAAACGAAAGTTATTTGTAAAATGTCTTCAATAAGTCAATTGAATGCCAGTGTGAACTGTTTTTTTTTTTTTATTGAAACACGAGGTATTGTTATGCATATATAAATTATACAATAGATTACGTTATCGTAAGGAAATCTCGAATGCAAAATTTGGTTTAACAATTTTTAAATTAAAATCTTTTCTATATAATTTTATACGTGAAAAAGTAGAAATTTCGCATTCTCTAATTTTCAATGCAATTAAGGTATTTTTAAAAGCGCATTTTTTAACAAGTAATTTATTTAATATGTACTTATTTTATGAGAGTTATTTATGATTTTAATTTTTTTATCAATTTTTCTCACTTAAAAAGTGTTATAAATATTAATTTTAAATCTATAATTTTTTTGTCCATACTATTTTGCCATTTTATTTTTTATAAAACATAAAGCAAAACTAAATTTGTGATAAAGTTCACTCTGTGGCAATAGCTGGCAGTAAATAAGCTACAAAATATGTAAATTTAAACTAATCATGCATATATATATGCGTGCATACTTATGTACGAGTATTTTAGCCATGAAATTTATGCGCATAAATATGCACTAAAAGCGATTTACAAATAAATAATGTTTGACGATGTGCACAAAAAGTGTAGCAAACAAAAATATATATATTGTATATATATAAAGGGCGATTTTTTGTCTATTATCTTTTTTGCAACGCTGGTATGAACAGCTGGCGCACGTTTCGTGTTTTGAATTACTGTCAAACATCTTCAGTTTAGTCTATAATAACAATTAATCGTCTGAAAAACGAAAAACGTTTGTAAATTATTGAATTTATCATCAAAATGTGTGCTCTGCTAAGAAAGTTCTTCGCTTCGAGGCTGATTTTTGGCTTAATGAGTGCGTAAATGAGTAGAATTGTCGAATTTGGAGAGGAGATCAGCCAGAATCATTATAAGAGCTAACCAATGCATCCAGAAAAAGTCACAGTTTGGTGCAGTTTATAGGCTGGTGGCATCATTGGACCGGACTTCTTCAAATATGATGCGAAATGTTACGTAACTGTGAATAGTGAGCGCTACAGTGAGATGATATCAAACTTTTTTTTTGCCCAAAATGCAAGAGCTTGACTTGCATAACAAGTGGTTTCAACAAGACGATGCCACACGCCACACGCCACACAGCACGCGTAACAATGGACTTATGGAGAGGCGAGTTCGGTGAACATTTTATTTCACGTTCAGGACCGGTCAATTGGTCGCCTAGGTCGTGCGATTTAACGCCTGTAGACTATTTTATGTGGGACCATGTTAAATCTAAAGTCAATACAGACAAGCCCGCCTCAATTGACGCATTGGAGAACAACATTGAAGCATTCATTTCGTGATGAAATTATATGGATTTTACTATCGATTCAAATAGAGAATTTTCTGGATATTATGTGTTTTTTTTTTTTTTTTGAAAAACTTGCTTATAGCTCTTAAAAAATCACCCTTTAAAAATATGAAAAATATGAAAATTAAGAAATCATGTTGCCAATTAAAAATTTACATAAACACATCAACACGCTACAACAAACATAACAACAACCAGTTAATAGTAATAAATACCCAACGA